AAACACAGAGATGTAGTAACTGAGTAGGTGCACACATAAGTTTTGTTTTATTTCTGATACTGAGGTTTATTTCTAAGCAACAAATTAATTATTCCCAAATATGCATGTGCTTCATTATAGTTGTCTTTAATTTGATTTGCAATACTTTTTTACAAAGCAACTAGTGGCTCCACATTATCCTATGGTGCTACCATAAAAACTACGCATCTGTGGGGGCATAAGTGACAACCGCCAAGGATGAATGTCAGTGTTTCTTCAAAGTTACTTGTTAGCCATTTTGACAATAAGAGCTTATCTGCAGTTTGTCCTGATGTGCTATCCACAAGCCATGACACAACAGTATTTTTAAAGCCTTTTAATGTAGGCAATTTTAACACTGCCCCTTGCTGTCTCTTCCCATGAAACAAGGGAGACTCACATCTATTTTTGGCAATTTGCTCTCTTTATTAGTGGTCCAGTGCTGACTTAGTTATCTGCTCCTCCCTTGTCCTATAATGCCAAATCAGAACAAAGGTTCTAGTTTTGCTCCCCATGACCAAAACAGAATAAATTATGTCCTGCTTCTGTAGTTTCAGCAAGCTGGTTAATTGCATTTGTTTCATATACCTCCAAACAGCCTGGTACATTAATTACATTCTGTAACACCAAGCTCCTCTGGTTCTCTCTGTCACTTCCACTGAGCACTTTAATTGTATTCCTTCCAGATACATACAATTTTTAAACATATACTAATATTTACATTTCCATGGTCTGGTGTTTCCAGTCTATTACAAACACAAACACCCACAACATTGATTGCCTTAGATTTGTCAATTGTGATAGGTTTCATAGGAAAAATTCCATTCCTGTAACAAATGTTGCTAGTGTAGGGGTTTAATCAAAATCCTTTTATTGTGAGATGTGGCATACTGACTAATGTGAATATAGCATATGCAGAAACTTATACTCTTATCAACAGACCCAACTGAAGGGTCACTTGCATGGCACATTATATACAACTCATGTGAAGCAACACCTTTATGTCTCCTACTCTTCACTTCTGCATTTGTGTGTTTTGCCTACTGGCAGGCTATTGGGCAGAGATATTCAAGTTGTCCATGATGGCAAACTATTTCTACAATAGGTAAAATGATATCACTATATGTTCATAAGGAGGCCTCACTTTGATACTGTTATGATAAATGGTTTTAAGCAGCAGATTCCTGGAACAAAGTTTGCTCCCAGAGACAAGCAAAAACGGCCAGTGTCCCAGACAGTGAATTAATCTGATGTCCAAAAGCTTGTTTAAAGTATCAAATGATCCAAATTAGACAGGCAAATATTTGGTACCACTACATACCACACACATAGGACTTGTAATATATGCATATGTTCTCTGATTGTGTGCATGCAAAAACTGTAGCACACTGCTTTTAGGCACCCTGCTGCACAGCAGCAAACCATGTTCTTTAAGTGCTACAATCCTATCCTTTTATTAAGGTCTCTGAACTCTTAAGTTACAGTCTGCTTGCCATATAATGCTGATTTAATCTTTTTTACCCTTCAGCTTCCTTCACTTGACCACCACAACAAGCACTGTAACACAATCCCACAGGAAACCCTGTCCAAAGTGCTGCTGAGTTTAATCACGAAAATATCCTGGGATAATTGGTAAAGATACAGCAACTGAGAAAAAAAACCCTAAGCAAGAGTATTTGTCTTGATAGAATAGGGAGAGACACTGACAGCAGTTGGACAGAATCCTGAGAATCTTTGAACATTCTCATCAGATTTTTCCCCAGTAGCAAGCCTGGCTTCCATACTGTACTGTTCTCTAGTAACACAAACCACTTGCACACTACTTTTGATAGTCCCCCACTTACACCACATATTACAGTCAGATTCCACACCCTTTAATACATTCCCCTGCTTGCATCAGATACGAACGGATCATGTAAGGAGCTCATAGCTGCGATCCTCTAATTCACCTCACCTGAATCCAAGGAACAATTACCCTGTTTTAAATCAGTCGAATCCCTACCTAAAAGTTAAGAAAAAGGAAATCGCAAAATAATAGTAGCTGAAACACAGTGGCATCTCCAAAAGACTCACTTACCACTTTGTGGTCATCTCTTTCCTTTCTAGCTTAGACTGACATTTTTCCATTCGTGACCTATTTTCCATTAAGTTGGCAAACAGTAAGGATAGCTTATTGGAAACATATATGCCCCCCTCCTTTTAACTTAAATGTTATTTCTATACCAGAAAGAAACTTTATTTAGATCCTGTAACATTAAAGCTAACTAATGTCATCCATGTGCTATACCAAATCAAATTCAGATGAAGAGAAATTCTGCAAAGGGATGACAGATTTTTTTTCTTGAACTTACCATAAACTTGAAAATATCCAAATCCAAAGAGCAGGAGTGGCATCAGCAGACCCATTTTGACATATTAAAAGCAATCCAGATGGCTTGAGACACCAATCCCGGAGTGACCCCAAAAAAGTACCCAAAACCAAGACGAGGTAGGTCCAAAAGTTTAGACTTTCCTAGCAGCTAATTAAAGTGAATGGGGAAATCTGAAAAGCAAAAGCTGCAGAGGGAAAGGGCTTGAATGTGACACTTTTAGATCCATCCAGATTAGCAGAGAGAGCTCCAAAGGCTTCTGCTTTGCACACACTGCCTCCTAAATTCCCACCAATCCAGCTCAAGCAGAGGAATTATTCAAGTGTGTCTAAGGCTCTCTTTCCTAGCAGCTAATTAAAGTGAATGGGGAAATCTGAAAAGCAAAAGCTGCAGAGGGAAAGGGCTTGAATGTGACACTTTTAGATCCATCCAGATTAGCAGAGAGAGCTCCAAAGGCTTCTGCTTTGCACACACTGCCTCCTAAATTCCCACCAATCCAGCTCAAGCAGAGGAATTATTCAAGTGTGTCTAAGGCTCTCCCATGG